AAATAGAGGCTCTAAAGAAGGAAGAACGACACTTGGGAACTGATCACGTTACCAAGAGGCAAAAAAACGTACGGTTGGCTATGGGTATATACCCTGAAACACAAAGCTGATGGCTCTATCGAGAGGGTTTGTCTTGTGGCGAAAGGTTTCACACAAACCTATGGATGGCATCGATTATCTCGAAACATTTTCTCCTGCAAACTCACAAAAATTCCATACGAGTCATTCTGTCAGTTGCAGCTAATGGATCTTGGTNGGCCTTTCTTCATGGAGACCTACACGAGTTTCTATTCGTCTTCCACCAGGGTTTCGAGCTCAAGGGGAGGAAGAGAAAGTTTGAAGGTGAAAAAAGGCGAGGGCCTCATATATCTCCTCGGCTCCTCTGGCTTGGTTCGAGATATGAAGGTTATGACGAAGATGGGTTTCCAAAGAAGGAATGCTGATCATTACATGTTCATAAAAAGGAAACAAGAGGAAACTACTATTCTCCTAGTGTACTCAGTTTAGAACTNGGTAGCGAAGCTAAAAAGGCTAGAAGCCGTAGGCGAAGGAGGCATATATGCTCACTAGACCGAAGGATTGATTATTCCACATCAACCAAGCTCCCTTTTTTGTCTGTCGCCTACATCTGCTAAAAAGCAATAGAAAGAAAAGGCATTAGTTAATCTTAGCTATTCATATTTCATCAACTCTATACTCTTGGAATTCCTTCATACGAGGATGGAAGTTTTCTTATCATCCCACAGTCAGAAAGCATTCCACTAATGCACCAAGCGAGGTAGGTTGGAAACGGTATGGATGAATCTAAGCTCATTCTATAGGTCTTGCTTGTGAGAAAAGTTGGAGAATAGACTGATGTAGCCATCCATTCCAAGTATTGGTCTAGGGACAATCAATCCGTAGTGACGGGAATGAAGTAATGATTTTATCAAGAGCAGTCAGATGAGCCTTCACGTCCGGTTCGGAGGGCGAGGCCGACCCTACTATCATTTATCATTATGCCTTTACAATCTGACTTGGTTTCACTCTATTTGTGACCTTACCTTTTCTTCCCCCATTTTCATTTCGTCGTTGAAGCTATCCCCTTGTCTTTTCCGTGATGTCAGGAGCTACACTTCTTGCGATCTTTGATCATTTTCTGTTTGCATTCGTCTGGAATTTGATTTCCCGGGTTGTTGAGAGTTCCAATTTGAGCATTATTATCTGGAATCTTCCGATATTCTAAATTAGCATGAGTTGAATCAAAACATATATGGGCTGGAAAGCTGCCTACCTGCGCAAGCCGAATAGATCTGATTTTCAGGCTCCCTATTCAAATCAGCATTCTCCATCCTCGTTGAAATTCCACAACTCCGTATGGGCTTGAAGCTGGTGCTCACGCAGAGCTTCTAGAACAGTCAGTCTCTACGTGTTTCAGATATTCCTCCCAGTCTTGCTATAAACCCTATCAATATTCTCCTATTTTGACTATAGTCACATCCTCGATAAAGAGTTATATGATCTCGGCTAATTTCAGTCAGTAGTGAAAGACGAAGACAGTATTCAATCTATCCCCTTCGTTCTGGAGTTCAGGACTGATTTTCTATGGTCTATTTTCCTTAAGCTTCAGCCCTCTTTAAGCTCTCTTCTAGGGAATTTTTGCTTGGTCTAGTAACAAGTCTCAATAAACTGCCTCAATCAGGCAATTCGTTAAAAAAGATATTTGATCGATCTGTCTTTCAATACTGACTCTTTTCCTCTTTTCTTTCTTATCTGTATTTCCTTAAAGAAAGAAAAGAAATATTTGACTGAGAACCCCTTATTAAGAACTTTGTGTCCTATCAAGCTTCTGGACTTTCAAGCTTTTGTTTCAGCGAGAAGAGAAGATACCCTCCTGAAAGAAGCCCTCAATCATCCTCAGTGGAAGAAAGCTATGATAGAAGAAATAGAGGCTCTAAAGAAGGAAGAACGACACTTGGGAACTGATCACGTTACCAAGAGGCAAAAAAACGTACGGTTGGCTATGGGTATATACCCTGAAACACAAAGCTGATGGCTCTATCGAGAGGGCTTGTCTTGTGGCGAAAGGTTTCACACAAACCTATGGATGGCATCGATTATCTCGAAACATTTTCTCCTGCAAACTCACAAAAATTCCATACGAGTCATTCTGTCAGTTGCAGCTAATGGATCTTGGTCACTGCATCAGCTCGATGTAAAAAAGGCCTTTCTTCATGGAGACCTACACGAGTTTCTATTCGTCTTCCACCAGGGTTTCGAGCTCAAGGGGAGGAAGAGAAAGTTTGAAGGTGAAAAAAGGCGAGGGCCTCATATATCTCCTCGGCTCCTCCGGCTTGGTTCGAGATATGAAGGTTATGACGAAGATGGGTTTCCAAAGAAGGAATGCTGATCATTACATGTTCATAAAAAGGAAACAAGAGGAAACTACTATTCTCCTAGTGTACTCAGTTTAGAACTATTCATTCACAAACAAGTCAGTCTATTATATTAGTCAGAAAGGCAGCTAGTAAGCAAGTCGAGTAAGACAGCTATTATTATATTAAGTCGAGCGAGCTTTCGCTAATACTACTAATCAAAGGAAAAGCTAAAGTCATAATGAGCATAGAGATGATAGGCGCTTATCCATGAGCTCGGTAGTCTTCCTTAAAACCGCTACCTATTCTTGAACTGAAAGCGGTATGCTTGCGAAGAGCGGGATTTCTGGTCGAGACGTGTTAATGAAATCCCGTGAAACTCTCGTTCATTCTGTGAATAAATAGAGACAGACTATTGCTACGATTTCGAACGTCACTTCGGGATCAACCTCAATGAATTATGGCGTAACGGGCTTGGTATAGATCTGTAGCCTGCTCTGGGTCATTAACCGAAACTAGAACTAGGCATGGAAAAACTTGATCAACGTCCTCCTCTCCTGAACTGAACCTGAACCGGAACAGAATGCAAGGCAAGAAGAAGAATAAGATATTCCTTTCTTTACAGGGGAGTAAATGAATGAAAGAAGGAACTCTCCTATCCGAGTTTCCAGTTCAAGAATAAAGGGAGAATCTAATGAAACAAGAATGATCCTGAACTACTGAACGAACCTGATTGAACAGGGTAAACAGGACTATTCTTCTTTCACGATATGCCCTTCCCCTATTTCTTCTTTGTAACCTCGGTCTCACTGCTACGCACCTTTCCGATTCATTCGAGTTCACTGTAAGGCGAAATGAAAGATGAATTCGAGTTTAACAGGACTATGACTTCTGAACCTGAACCGATATGACCTGAACTACTTAACCTTCCCCTATTTATTCTTGAACTGGAAAAAAGAAGAAAGATGAATGAGAGAGCCAGAACAGGAAGGAAAGACGAAACTCAAGATTCTAGAGAGCATATTCTCTCGTGGACCTGAAAGTGTTGAAAGGAAAGACGAAAGATGAATGAGACTGAACTGTAAGTCAAGACTCAAGATTAATTCGAGTTTACAGTGAAATCAGGGAGAGTCAAGACTGAAATCAAGATTAATGAGAGTAAACTCCTGACCCTGAGCCTTCAAACACGACACAAACTGTAAACTCCTTCCTGCCTGCCTGGACTGTGACTTCTACTTCTGAACCTGATGGAACTCCTTCTTCCGATATTCCCGTTATTGTGAGTTATTCTTTCACTCACTGTAAACACTATTCATTCGAGCATATTCATGGACTCTCCCTGAACTATCAAAGATCAATACTCCTTATGACTGAGACAGATTGAACTCGGTAAACTCCTTTTCCTTCAGTTCTTGTTCTTTTCCTTTAAAGACAAGGTAAAGCCGCTACCGTTAATTCATGGACTCTCTATTCTTTCACAAGGTAATTAGGAAGAAAAGACTCAACGAAAGATGCATTCTCCTTTACCTATTTATTCCACCACGTAAACAAGTCAAGACGAAACACGGACTCCTCGCCCATTTTTTAGGCCATTTCACAAGGGAAAGCCGAAACTCAAGATGAATTCTTTAACTAATCTTTCTCCTCACTTACTCCTGAACCTTTTCCTGATTGAACGAGGGAGGTAAATAGGCTTGCTTCGCCCCTTGTTCCGTTATTGTGAGTTATTATCAGTGATTGTGAACCTCTCCCTTCAACCACTCTTTGTCTCTCCCTCCTGTAAGAAAGAAGCAAGAATGAGACTGAACATTCATGATCCTGAACCTGTCGGTAAAGCTGCCTGCTTCGCTCCTGAACTACTGAACCTGAACCTATTTATTCTTTTCCTTCTTTCCCGAACTGTAAAGAAAGAAGCAAGAATGATCCTTCACCTTCAAACACTGAAAAAGAAGATGAGACTGAACTTCTCTCCCTATTTATTCTTTCATTTCCCAGGGTAAAGCAGCTAATCTAATTCATGGACTCTACCTGAACCTGATTGATCTAGGTAATGCATTCGGAAAAAAAGACTCAACAAGTAATGATCCTTCACTCCGGCTTCTTCACTCCTTTATCTTTCTCCTTTATAGTTCGAGCTAGAATCAAAGGAAAGACTCAACAAGAATTGAATTCGAGTTCACTACTTCACGATCCATCTTTCACCTATTGATTCAAACACTGTAAACTCCTTCCCCTTCCCCTGATTTGACAAAGAAAAAGAGAAATACTCCTTCCTTATTCATGAGAGCATATTCTCTCCTTCTTTCTCTCCTGACCCTGAACCTCGTAAACTCGGTAAAGCTATTCCATTGCTTGCCCCTCTCCAACAAGTCAAGACGAAAGAAGAATGAGACTGATTTCACTCTTTTACAAGAAAGAATAAGAAATCCTTCAAAAACTCGGTAAAGCTAGAAGAAGAACCTGAACCTAAACCTCTATGACCTGACCAAAAGCTCCTATTGATGAATGGGACTGAACCTAGTTATTCTTTACAGGAGAGTAAATTCATGAAAGACGAAAGATGAAACAAAGAGCTACTGAACCGGAAGGAAAGGGAAGCGACTGAACAGGACTAGAAATACATGAAAGAAAGAGACTGATTAAAAAGCAAGACAGACAAGACAAGATGAATGAGCCAGATTGAACGAGGTAAAAGAAAGTGTTGAAAGGAAAGACGAAAGATTCCTTCTCCTTCACTCCTCTAGAATAGGTTAAATCAGGGACATGAGAGAATATGCTTTACCTACCTTGTGAAAGAAGGATTGAATATGCTCAACTCTTCCCTATGTATTCTTGAACCTATTCATTGTCGGAAGTCAAGACTCAGGAAGAATGAAACTTGACAGTGTAAGGGAGAAGAAAATGAAAGATGAATGAGACTGTACAGTAAGGAAAGACGAAACAGGAAGGAAAGACTCAACAAGACCCATTCTCCTCTCCCTACCGGTCGAGCAGCTTCGCCCCTTTACAGTGAAAGAATCAATTCAGGGACAGGAAAGAGACTGAACTCCTTTTTTTACAGTGAAAGAAAGAAGGGAGACTCCTTATGAATTCTCCTTCTCCTCCTTCTCAAATTACTTTCTTCATTCTCCTGTAAGGACCATTGATTATTTATTTGATGCTCCATATAACTGTAAAGTTTCGTAAGAGCTTTTTCACTAACAGCTGCATAGGAAATTCATTCTTTTGATGCTCCATATAACTGTCAAGTTTCGTCAGAGCTTTTTCACTAACAGCTGCTGCTTCAATTCATTCTTTTTATGCTCCATATAACTGTAAAGTTTCGTAAGAGCTTTTTCACTAACAGCAGCTGCTTCAATTCATTCTTTTGATGCTTCATATAACTGTAAAGTTTCGTTAGAGCTTTTTAACTAACAACAGCTGCTTCAATTCTTCTTTTGATGCTCCATATAACTGTAAAGTTTCGTCAACCTTAGGTAATGAGGCAGGATGAGAAAAAAGAGAAGCGACTGAACCTTCCCCGGAACCTCTATTCCCTTCCCTTATTGAATGAAGGAGGTAGTAAAGCTAGAATCAGGACCTGAACCTTAACTTGAACCTTGATTTATTAATTAACCTTTTCTGAACCTGATTTCACTCTTTGCCTCTCCCTCCTGTAAGAAAGAAGCAAGAATGATCCTTACCTCCTTGTTCACCTCTCCCTATTTATTCTTTCATTTCACTCGGTAAATAGGTCAAGCTATTTTAGGGTCTCATTGTTTCGCTCCTCTCGCTACTTACTCATTCCCCTTCTTTCTTGAAGAGTAAACTGGGAATCTTAGCTCTGATCTTGATCCTTAATGAGAGTGAACTCCTACACCTATTGATTCTTTCTCCTTCACTATTCTTGAACAAGGTCAAGCTCCTTCACCTTTCTTTTGACGATATTCCCTATTTGTCATTGAGCAAGGTAACCTCCTAAACTACTGAACAAACTCGGTAAATGGGTGTTCAGTATCAGTAGCTCTTTTCTTTATTGAACGAACTGTGAATGAGGACTCAACTCAAGATGAATTATCCTTTTCTTCCTATTTATTCTTTCGCTCGGTTTCACTATTCGAGGAGGTAAAGTCGCTAATTCATTTACTACCCCTTGTCAAAGAAGAAGAAGGATGAATTCTCCTGAATAGGAAGTCAAGACGAAACCTCAAACACAACCTTTACCGGAAACAAAAGAATAAGAAATCCTGCAAACACGGGGTAAACTAGAGGATGATTCTTGAACTCGGGTTGAACTATTCAAACACTGGGCTTCTCTCCTTCACCCATTTATTCTTTAACTGTAAACAAAGACTCAACCTAAGCAAGATGAATTCTCCTGACCTACTGAACCGAAAGAAGAAGAAGAGAATGAATTGATTGAAGACTCAACTCAAGACTCAAGATTCATTCGACTGAACTACTGAACCTTTTCCTTCCTCATAAACTATTAGTCTACTTCTCTCCTTCGGCTCTAAACTGCTTGCTTGGTTCTTGATCCTTCACTTTTCTTTGACTCTATGTTCTTTCTCCTTCCCCTTTCTTTGACTCTATTCCCTGAACCTCGCTCCTTCCCCTCGGGCTTCTATTTCTTTATTCTAGTACTCGATAAATAGATAGAATAGGTCTTTATTTGTTTGTTTGATTAAACTCGGTCTGTTCTCTTTCTCCTTATGAATCAAGTCAAGACTCAAGAAGAATGAGACTGTACTACTTCCCCTGAATCTCTCCAACTCGGTAAAGCAATTCCATTTCCTGAACCTCGGCTTCTTCTGCTTTCAAGACTCAACAAATGCAAGAAAGAGAAGCTCACTCCTTTTCCTTCTTTCACAAGGTAAATAAATGGGTTGAAGAAAAGAAGAATCAAATGAATGAGACTGAACAGTAAGGAAAGCCGAAAGAGAGTTTCGAACGGAATCACTTGTTCTTTCTTGAACTCCTTCCCCGATATGCCCTTGCCTTATTTATTAAGGTAAACTGTAGGATGATTCTTTCTTTGACTCTCCTGTAACAAAGATTCATTCGACAGAACTCAATCACTTGTCCCTTCTTTAACTCCTGAACATGTCCAACTCGGTAAAGTGGCTTGGCCCATTCATTCACCTATTTATTCTTTCACTGCTTGCTTCTCTCCTCTGCCTGCGAGTCTCACAATTCCATTGCCTCTCTGTCTTAGTTCTAGCTTTGTTTGTTTCCCTAATTTCTGGAGGTAAATAGTAAGTAGTCTTTCTCCTTCACCTATCCAACTTAGAATCTTAGCTCTGATCTTTCTTCTCCTTTCTTTCACTCTTTTACTCGGTAAATAGAATAGAATAAATAGGTGTTTGATTGAACGAACTGTAAACAAGGGTTGAACTACTTCCCCTGAACCTGTATTCCCTTGCCTTCTAGGTCTCTTTCTTCCTGAACCGATATGACCTTCAGTTCTTGTTCGCGTTAGTTATTCTTTCAGGAGGTAAAGCACTTCGTATTGAATGGACTCTCCCTTCAAATCCAGACAGTAACCGAAGAAAGACTCAAGAGTTTACGAACTGAACTCAATCACCTTCACTCGATCTATTCTCTTTGCTTTTCTTTCCTCTTGCTCCTTTTCCGATATGCCCTGACCTGATGAACCTTATACGATATTCCCTTGCCGAGCTAGCTTTCTTTTATTCCCTTCAAACACTCTTGAATTAAGGAAGTCAAGACTCAAGCAAGATTCATTCTCCTTCACCTCATAAACTTAGTCTTTGTCTTCTCTCCTTTTCCGATATGACCCCTTCCTATTGATCTTGAATTGTAAACACTCAACTCAAGACTGAACTCAAGCAAGATTCATTCTTTAACTTCTCTTTCTCCTAGCCCTACTAACTCCTTCCCCTTTGACTGATTGAACTATAAACTCCTTTTCTGATATGCCCTGACCTGAACCTTATACTTAAATACCTGACCGGCTCCTATTGATTCTTGATCCTTATTCATCAAGTCAAGACTCAACAAGAATGATCCTTCACCTCTTTATTCTTTCACTCGGTTCTATTCTAAATAGGTAGGTCTTTCTTTGTTTGTTTCTTTAAGTCAGGTTTAAGGAAAAATGAATTCTCTTGAACTACTGAACCTCTATTCCCTTCGCTACTTCACCTGACAGGATATTAAAGAAAAGAAAAAGAAACCGAAACCCTCAGCTTTGCTCATTCACTATTCTTGAATAAGGACAAGCTTCTTTTCCTATTTATTCTATTATATTTTGATTCTATTACATTACCTTCACTATTCTTGAACAAGGTAAAGCATATGAACCTATTTCTTCTTTTCCTTCTTTCACTGTAAACCGAGAATCTTAGCTCTGGCTTTGATATTGATCCTTAATGAGAGATATGTTATTGTGAGTTATTATCAGTTCTAGTTTGTTATTCTTTCACAAGGTAAATAGGTGACGTAACTCTTTCTTTTCTTTCACTCAGTAATGAGGAAGTCAAGACTCAAGCGAAAATCGGGAATGAGATTCTTTCACTTGGTAAAGCTATTTTCATTCTCCTGAACCTGATTGAACAAGGTCAAAGAAAAAGATCAAGGTAAGACTCAACATTAATTCGAGCATATTCTCTCTTTCTCCTATTGATTCTTGAACCTATTCTGTAACCTCTGTCTCTTTGCTTTTCTTTCCTCTCCTCTTCTCGTCTCAAAATTCCATTTCCTGAACCTCTACTCTATTCCCCGAGCTACTGAACCAGAACCCATTTATTCTTTCACTCTTTCACTCAGTAAAGCAATTTTCATTGAAGAACCTGAACCTGTATTCCCTTCACTACTTCACCTTCACCTTCTTTCACTCCTGAGCCTATTCTATTGATGGATGGATTCTTCTTCTTCTTCTTTCACTCTTTATACTCGGTAAGATAATCGCTTGGAATTCCAAGTTGAGACAAACACTATGTTTAACCTGCCCTCCTTTTCTCCACTTCTCTTCGATCGACTTCGTACCTTCCCCACAGTAGTTTTTCCCAACTTAACCAACCTTATCCTTATGGTTACTCCTTTTGTTATGGATATCGGCGGTATTGGTTTAGCTGTCGTAATGCACTAACTCTATATATCTATTCGAGATGTCACAATCCATCTGCATAAGACATTCGAGAGCTTTGAGTCAAGTCCCTTTTCAGTTTCTTTATTGGGTGGGCCGATTCAAGCTTTCAAAGATGGAAGACAGGCAAGCCTTCTTATTAATTTCTTAATGACCTGACAAAATTCCAACCGTTTTAATTCCCGTTCTTAATCAGGGGGTTAGTCTGGGTCTAAAGAGTTAGATGTTGCCAGCTGTCTCCCTTTAGCCTTCGGGCATCAATGTCAGTAGTATAGATGTCAAAGCTATACACTTCTTTGATTTAAGAGTCAATCAATTCCTTATACTACAGTATTTCCAAAGGAAGGTAGTGTGACTCTTCACTTAAAGGAGAAGGCCACTTTGAAGGTTGGTCTTTTAAGCCTCGGGCGGAATCACCCGTCTCTTTTAAACCAGGCTGCTCTAATCAAAAAGGAATTCTTCCAACTATATGCTATTCCCATCTGAGCTGGTCGTATGTATTTGTGGCCCTATTATCCTGTCTAAGGTATAAGGGAGCCTCGAGACTCTTTCAATGAAGTTTATCCTCCCATCTATCTCGTTGAATGAAGAAGGCTGAGAGTGTGTAGCGAAGGATATTGGGATAGGTCAAGTTCCAGTAGGGATCGGATCCTTGTATCCTGCTAGTGAGTCCTTCCACCTGAGAATCAAATAAAGTCTTTTCTGTTAAAGCTCAGTAAACCTTTGTACGATACATCTTGCTCTTGTTTTGTTCGATCAAATCAAACCTGCTACCGAAAGAACTTACCCTTTCTTTAGTAATGAGGGTATACCTTTCGTCATCTTTTTTCGCCATGAGTGCCCCACAGTGAGTGGTCAAGAGCCCAGATGTACAATAGAAATGGGTGTCCTTTGAAAAGACTATGTTGGCGGCTGGGAACTCTCTGGTTGCCATACATTCCTCATGAACTTGACTGACTCTTTTTCCCTTTCCCTTTAGCTTCAACCCGACTTCATTTAAGTGACAGTCTTCTAGACTTCGAGAGAGCTTTGACTATTGCCTTATGGTTTTAGGAGAAAGACGTAGCAGTTTGTACATTTAAATTTTGGCAGGAATAGTGGCCAATTGAGTCACCAAGTGACAGTCGAACGGTTCGTTCAGACCAGGTGGATTGCTCCCTCTGGTGAGCTCTTTTATTTGTAGGGGCTTTAGAGGTTCTGCCAACCTCCTTAACACTTATGTGCATGTAATCACAGTGGTAATTGATTCCCGACCACCTTCCCTTATCGGGGGAGAGAAAGTCCGCCCTCCTCATTAGGAGCCTACTCGGAATTCTTGACTGCATTTGCTTCCTCTTTTGTGACGAGGACGGGTCCGACCTCCTCTTGTTCTACCCTTCCTGAATCTTTCTCAGCAACAACCATGTGGCAGATCCCCATAGCACCAAGGGACCTGTGGTCTGGCCCTGAGCCGTGGTATTTGAAGAAAGGCTGGCTTCCCTATTCTACGAGGATGGATTCCCAGACACGCCTTCCACTACTAGATGGAAGACTAAGAAGAAAGCAAAGTCAACCTAAATTCAAGGCTTCGGGGATGGCGCTAAACCTGCAACCACATTCACTCGATCTACAACTTCTCAGACATCAACTGAGGAAAGAACGAAAAGGGATTCCTTCCTTCTTTTCTTTTACTGAGGGGAGTTAAAGAGTCTCAAGACTAAGCCAATGCCCCTTCCACGACTAAGACACAAACGAACCAGGCCACTAGGGGTTCTTACATGAGAATTGATTACCTTCAGGCCGACTAGTTGCATTAGTCAAACTTACACGCTACCTCTTCGCTTCCTCATGGAAGAAAAGAAGGAATAGCAAATTATGCAATTACCGATTCGACTGCTTGAACTGCTTTTCCTTCCTAGAGTCGAAGCCATATATCCATATATTCAGTATGGGATAGACTTCGTCTCTTTATTGACTTCTAAATGTCCTCTTTATGTTCCCACTTCCTATAACTTATAACTAGTGCAAGCCCTGAGGCTAGGAAGTAGAAGTAGTCTTCTTACTACACCGCCCGAGTTTTAAGCATCAACTCTTAACTGATCACGTGGGAACATAGGAAGGAAAAGTTTAGAAAGCCAAATCACTTCCCCATTGGATTCACGGCCAAATCCTTATCAAGTCTTTTACCTGTAGTAAATCTATTCCAAAATCGGGGATACCATATCTCTGACTTCCATAGGCTAAATTTCCTACACCCAAATGGGAGACAAACAAAGAGTTCCCCATCTCTCCAGCATCATCTAAGGCAGGCCTGGAAGCAGCTGTTGAATTAACTAAAGTGGGATCCGGTCTGTAAGGAAGTTAGTTAGTCTAATTGACACAAGCCTATTTTGAGTCTTCGTGACCTGCTTCAGTCCTCTATCAGACAGTTAAGAGGCAATGGTTGAGGTGACTGTTCAATTGTATGATTTAGATTTATGGCCTTGACTTTGAATGAGAAGGGAGGAATGAATCTCTTTCAAATAGCAGGCCTACTGGATTCGTCTTGTTTTCTATTCTCCCGTCCTTTCCCCCTAGCTATCTCCTGAGGTAAGTAAGGACTATAGTTAGAGTCAGGGGCGTACCGATGAGTTAATTGATGAGCTAAGGCTGCTTAGACTTTTAGAGTTTCTCACTAACTAAGATATTGATGTTGCTGATTTCATCCCGAGTTGAAGAGTGAAGTAGCCACGGGCTAATTAACATTTCATATTTCAGGCTATTCGCAACTGAGCTAACGCCAAACATCCCTAGTAAGAAAGATTGAATCATGGTATAGGCTGCTTGAGAAGAGGCTCCATATCTATATCATTAGAAGTATATGAAGATGAAGTAGAGGTAGTCGATCACCAACCCAACTCTTCACCCCCAACCGGGCATGGCAAAAGGCTCTCTTAACTAGATGAAAGTGCCAGCAAATTACTTATATTCTATTTCTAGTATTTAGTAGTAGTATATAGTATTAGTCAGAATACCCCCAATAAATGACGGGTAAACTGTGTGTATCAAATTAGCTTTCTCGGGATGCGCTTTAGCTCCAAACTTTGGTCTTAGAAAAGAACCTTGCATCGGGCTTTAGCCACATCAAAGGAACGAAGGTTAGAGGCCAAAAAACAAGGCTGAAGGGTATTTACTCTTTCTATAGCAAAGGTAGCTCGTACGACAGGTTACAGATGGCAAATAAAAGAAAATATCCATGCAAACGGGAACGATCACGTTTTGCACTTTCTATCATTACTTATATTTGATATTATAGGGCAGATAAAGAGTGAATTTACAAAATTGTGAGTTCACCGATTCTGGGACTTAGTGACTCTACTTTGAATCCTTTGAATCCAAGGCAACCGAAGGAAGCTCTTTAAATGGGGGCATGGCGTACAAGGAGCGAGAGTCCTTTTCCCATCCTCTTCCAATAAATAGAAATAGTGAAATGCAAATTTACACAAGATTCGTATCTTCTTTCCATTCCAACGGAGAGGGCTTTATCGGAAGCTTTGGTAGCTGTAGCTAGGTTTCTACATGTGGTAGCTCCACTTAGGACTGAAAGTCGAGTGATACGTGGAGGAAGTGGGATTGAATGACAAGGAGAGGAAAGTAGTGGAGCGATAGGATTTCTTTGATACGGGCTCTTTCTTTATTGCTGTCTAACGCCTTTTCTGATCATTAGATGGAAGATTCAATTCTCATCATTAAACGTTGTTGGTTTATCAGTCAGAATCTCGTGGGATCTAGTCCATGAAAGACCTCTCTCCCTACCTCTCCTCTGCTTCTCCTGTTTCCGCTTACGCTGCTTTTCGTGCAACTGTAAGAGCTTAGTTCTCCTCCAATGCTTTTCTAAGACTGCCTCCACGGGGGATTTGTTAAGAGCTCAAATTGGTTGCAGCATTACTATCTATAAATTCTCCCTCACTAAAGAGCATAGAAGAAAGATATTAAACAACCATTCTTCTATTAATATTCCAAATTCTTTTGCATGAAAAAAGTAAGTGGTCAATACTCCCCTCTGTCCTAAAAGGAGGATTTCAGGGCAAGAAAGTGCCTATTTAGCCTACTTACTGCTTGACCTACTTACTGAATGCTGAATGCCAAAGCAAGGAAAGACGATATTCCATAGCTTCTGCTTATCCTCGCTTGCCCACCGCTTAGCACGCATACATGTGATTCTTCTTCTATCGGATTAGTAAGCCAAAACAACCCGATGAATCTTTTGTATCGAACGAAAGCCTCATATCCCCTAGCGGAAGCCTTATCCCGTGGAGTCGGCTCTTCCATAAAAGCAGAGTTTACAATATGTATATGTATAGTAGTTTACTAAGAGAAAAGAGGAGCTCGCCAAGCAGAGGTAAGTCAACTACTTAACTAGTCCGGAGCAATGTCCCTATGCTATCTTCCTGTATCGAGGCAAGTCTGCTATCTTCGCCTCGTTGTCTGCTTAGTCTTTCTTTTCTTGACAAGAGAAAATCAATCCTTCCCGACGGTATTCCACAATTTCTTTTGTGGCTGGCTCTAGGTTATTTCAAAAAGAAAGAAAAAAAAGAGAGTGAAAGGGTCGACCGTTAAGGGATCTCTTTGACATTATAATGAAGAGAAGATTCTTCTATACCTCGCGACATACATGTAATATGTAGAAGTCTCTATAGTGTAAGGGATCTCTTTTTCTTATAACTGCTGTTGTAATTCCTGTATTATATTATATATTCTAAGTCAGAGGCAATAGAAGATTCCATTTTATAACCCTATTAAATCAAGCCCTCACTTGTGTGACGGAACGTAGTAATTCGCCCCAAAAGTGTTGATATATATAGCTAATCTAAGTGGATGACTTTCAGGTTGTTCTTCGGCGGGGAGAGAACGAATTCTTTGTTTAAAGCATGTGACCTTTGGGTGACTTGTATCAGAAGACGAGTTAGCCTTCCTTCAGATAAAGATATTANTAAATGGGGGCATGGCGTACAAGGAGCGAGAGTCCTTTTCCCATCCTCTTCCAATAAATAGAAATAGTGAAATGCAAATTTACACAAGATTCGTATCTTCTTTCCATTCCAACGGAGAGGGCTTTATTGGAAGCTTTGGTAGCTGTAGCTAGGTTTCTACATGTGGTAGCTCCACTTAGGACTGAAAGTCGAGTGATACGTGGAGGAAGTGGGATTGAATGACAAGGAGAGGAAAGTAGTGGAGAGATAGGATTTCTTTGATACGGGCTCTTTCTTTATTGATGTCTAACGCCTTTTCTGATCATTAGATGGAAGATGAAATTCTCATCATTAAACGTTGTTGGTTTATCAGTCAGAATCTCGTGGGATCTGGTCCATGAAAGACCTCTCTCCCTACATCTCCTCTACTTCTCCTGTTTTCGCTTACGCTGCTTTTCGTGCAACTGTAAGAGCGTAGTTCTCCTTCAATGCTTTTCTAAGACTGCCTCCACGGGGGATTTGTTAAGAGCTCAAATTTGTTGCAGCATTACTATCTATAAGTTCTCCCTCACTAAATAGGATAGAAGAAAGATATTAAACAACCATTCTTCTATTAATATTCAAAACTGATTCTTTTGCATGAAAAAAAGTAAGTGGTCAATACTCCCCTCTGTCCTAAAAGGAGGATTTCAGGGCAAAAGTGCCTATTTAGCCTACTTACTGCTTGACCTACTTACTGAATGCTGAATGCCAAAGGAAGGAAAGACGATATTCCATAGCTTTTGCTTATCCTCGCTTGCCCACCGCTTAGCACGCATACATGTGATTCTTCTTCTATCGGATTAGTAAGCCAAAAAAACCCAATGAATCTTTTGTATCGAACGAAAGCCTCATATCCCCTAGCGGAAGCCTTATCTCGTGGAGTCGGCTCTTCCATAAAAGCAGAGTTTACAATATGTATATGTATAGTAGTTTACTAAGAGAAAAGAGGAGCTTGCCAAGCAGAGGTAAGTCAACTACTTAACTAGTCCAGAGCAATGTCCCTATGTTATCTTCCTGTATCGAGGCAAGTCTGCTATCTTTGCCTCATTGTCTGCTTAGTCTTTCTTTTCTTGACAAGAGAAAATCAATCCTTCCCGACGGTATTCCACAATTTCTTTTGTGGCTGGCTCTAGGTTATTTCAAAAAGAAAGAAAAAAAGAGAGTGAAAGGGTCGACCTTTAAGGGATCTCTTTGACATTATAATGAAGAGAAGATTCTTCTATACCTTGCGATATACATGTAATATGTAGAAGTCTCTATAGTGTAAGGGATCTCTTTTTCTTATAACTGCTGTTGTAATTCCTGTATTATATTATATATTCTAAGTCAGAGGCAATAGAAGATTCCATTTTATAACCCTATTAAATCAAGCCCTCACTTGTGTGACGGAACGTAGTAATTCGCCCCAAAAGTGTTGATATATATAGCTAATCTAAGTGGATGACTTTCAGGTTGTTCTTCGGCGGGGAGAGAACGAATTCTTTGTTTAAAGCATGTGACCTTTGGGTGACTTGTATCAGAAGACGAGTTAGCCTTCCTTCAGATAAAGATATTAGGCAGGATGAAATTCCCCTTACCATGTCTTCCTCAGAAGAACTCTGAATTTAGATATTACTAGTGTATAGCATTAGCATTCATTAAGTCACCCAAAGCATGTGACCTTTGGGTGACTTGTATCAGAAGACGAGTTAGCCTTCCTTCAGATAAAGATATTAGGCAGGATGAAATTCCCCTTACCATGTCTTCCTCAGAAGAACTCTGAATTTAGATATTACTAGTGTATAGCATTAGCATTCATTAAGCTATATATGTTTTGAAAAGCTAGCGCCAAAAGTTTGATTAAAGTCAATGTTTGGCTAAGATCGTTTCTGAAAGCTCGAGAGTACACTAAGGGAGATTTCCTTAGAACTTTAGAAGCAACTAATTCAATTGACAAAAATAGAAGCTTACATGGAAAGCACCTCTCACTCTTTTTGATGAGCCAGTTATCCTCGACTCTGATTAGGTATATTCTAGTATATTGAGAATCTGAAAGCAGGAGATCCTTATTTAGAGTTCATTCTTTACAGCTTACAGAAGAAAAACAAGTTGTAATTCCCTAGTTAAGCAAGGCTTAGTATCGGTATCCTAAATTAGGATAAATAGCTTATTAGAGGTTGGGGAAGGGAAAGAGAATTAGGCAGTCAAATGCAAAAATGAAAAGAACTCTCAGCTAATTAACTGGTACAAAAGAAAAAGATAGGGATGGAATCCATTCGCTTAGCTCGTATTCTTTTATTTCACTTGCATGGAAAGCTACTATTGAATTATAGATGTAGATAAAGGATATAATTCTTGGTTTACCTTGGTACTAGCAACTTTACAAGCAGGAAAGAAAGAGTCGATTCGTTAGGAGCAGGTTTTGTTTGAAATACCCGAAAGAGGATGAATGCCTAATGCTAATTCGGAACTGGTTGGTATCGTTAATAGTTGATAGTTGCTGGATAGGGATAGGAAGGAACTCCACTCTTTTATCCGAAAATCGAAAAAGAAAACCTGGAAAGAAGAGAAAGTGCTAGCATCAATGGCCTGCCAGTTTATCCGACTTGCTTTGAAATTCCTTTAACTGTCAGTCAACCAGTTGATAGCTGCTAATTTAGCCAAGGTTCTATTTAAAGCTAGTTACGTATGTACGAAAGTTGAAGCTGAACGATGGACTGTAAAGTGAAAGTTTAAGTAATGCTTTCAAGCGAAGGCTATCATTGACAGATAAGGGAAGATCCGACACCGAAGAGGAATTAACAGAAACAGATATTCTCAGATGCGCGTTAGCGGCTTAATAACCGTGGACTGCATTAAAGCACGGGGACTTGGTAGGACAGCATGGGATGGCCCTTCTTGAACTAACCGGAAAGAAGTAAAGAAGTACAGGTTTTCTTGCTAGGTTCGATGAAGTTTGAGATGATGCAATTTCAACATTGACAAAAAAGAAAGACTAGAGAGAAAATCTCTGTGGTTGTTTATAAACGCTGCACGCTCCTTAAAGAAAAGTCGTTGCTTGCCTATCTCAGTAGGAAATTGGAACAGTCTCCGATTTCAAAGGCGAAGCTGCTACTACGTTCGGTTCGAAAGCCGAGGTCGCCCCTATCACTGGTGAAAGAAGCAAGACTCGGTCCAGTTCTAAGGCCTAAGGCTAAGTCCAGAAAGGCGAGGTGCTGCTTCCAAGCGGAGGTTCTAGCATGCCTTACTAAAAGAGTAAGCTAGCGGTTCGCAACTAATTTAGTCAGAGTAGCAAATAGACAGTGTTAATCATTCATTTAGTAAGCCCCTTCATCCTGACTGGCAAGGATGGGTTTCCTAACCTACCTATTTTCTTTCGAATCTGAAGGTCGAGCAGAAGCAGATGTGGAATCCTATCTCGTTGTTGCATCGGTTCAATTTTGTGCTTTTTTGGACTCTACCTTCCTTGTAGTTAATCTACGACCAAAGCGGAATCAGCGGACTCAATAGTCGTTATATCTTTCAGAGGTCTCTTGTTGGTTCTGAGTAAGATGCTATAGGTCTTCATCCTTCGATGTGGAACCCTTTCTTTCGTTTAGCTGCTAAGGCCTAAACTCTCTCGGCCCGCTTCCCACGTACTAGCAGCATGAATTGGCTTTTATGACTCGCTCCTTTTGGGAAGAGATCGATTAGTGTAGTTATAAGGCTTAGCCATTTATCTGAATGAGAGTTTTTCTTAGAGCGGATATGGATTCCACCTTTCAGCTATTTCTTCCAAGGTCTTCAATAGCTGCTCTCTTGTCGGATGCCCTAGAGAATAGACCATATTCTCCGTCAGGCTTTTCACGGTCAACGAAAACTGGGATATTTATTCATCTATGATATGGTTATGGTTTATGGTATGGTTCCTGCAGGGTTGAATCCAAACTTCCATAGGTCTTTTAACTGCTTTTTCGGGAAAGAGATTGACAGAGGATCTTCGCTTTTGAAGAGGGCACTGGCAACAGGCTAATCAAAGAATAGATTGATTGCATTCATATTCTTTCTGCTTAAAAAAGATGAATCTTCACTCATCGAACACGGTAGGGCTTGGCACGCTAACGCTACTACGACCGATACGAGACTGAACTCAATCACTTGTCCCTATTTTTTAGGCTATTTCACTCTTGAACAAGGGAAAGCTCTAGAAGTCAAGACGAAAGAGAAAACAAGAAAAATAGGTTCATTCTGTAGCTAATTCATTTACAAGACTGTAAGGTAAGAAGGATGAATTCGACTCAACCTTAAACCTTTGACTCTATTCCCTGACCTGATTGAAGGGGCTTACAGTGAAAGAATGAATTGATTGAAGAATCAGACTCAGACAAGAAGAATGAGACTTTACAGTGATAGAAAGAGAAGCGAATGAACCTGATCTTTCTCCTGAACCTGACGAGAATGAAAGAAGAAGAATCAATGAATTAGCTGCTTTACTGTCGAGGAAAGACTCAAGATGAATTCGACTCAACTCAAGATTAATTCGACTTTACAGTTCAAGAATCAATTCAGGGAGAAGAAAGAAGAATCAGAGAATGAAAGAAGGGAGACGAAACTCAAGAGTCATTCTCCTGAACCTGATTGAACAAGATCAAAAAGAGATAGGAAAGACGAAACTCCTTATTCATTTGGCTGTAAAGACCATTAATTCTGAAATTCTATCTTCTGTCTATTTTTAGGGATATTTTCGTCCATTTTCGAGGTAATTAGTTGAGAAGGAAAGAGACCTCAAATCTTTTCCTAGGAAAATCAAATGAAACATGCATTCTCCTGAACCTCTATTCCCTGAGCTTATTTCTGGAGGTAAAGCTCTTTGAAGAACCATTCTTTACAGGAGAGTAAATCAAAGAGAATTGAAAGACGAAAGCAAGACAACAAGATAAGATGAATTCTCCTTTATAGAAAGAGAAAGAAAGAAAGAGAAGCTAATTCACCTGCATTTTCTTCTTCTCCCTGAAGCTCTATTCCTTCCCTGACCAGAATTTCTTCTTTCACGAGGTAAAGTTAAATTCATTCAATCCTTCACCTATTGATTCTTTCTCCTTTTCTTTGACTGATTGAACTCAGTCTCGCTCGTGGCTTCGCCCCTTCACCTTTTTTTGACTCTATCTCCTGCCCTGATTGAACTCGGTAAAGCAGCTAATTCATTCATTTACTCATTCTCGCTGAACAGTAAAAGAGGAATCAACCGAAAACCTTCCCTTGAACTCATGAACCTCTACAACTCTGTCTCATTCATTGCTTCTCTCCTTCTTTCACCTTTTCCTTCTTTCCCTCTTTAGGACCATTAATTAATTTTTTCTATCTTCTGTCTATTTTTTTTTTGGATAAAATCGATGCTTTACCCTATTTTTTGAGATATTTTTGGCTAGAGGTAATTCGTCAGTCAATCCTCAATGAATTAGCTTAGCTGCTTTCCAGGAGAGCTACTTACTCCTATTAAAGCAGCTTCTTCCCTTTTTGATGAATGAGCTACTTCATTCCCTGAGCTACTGAATGAAAGACTCCTTCTCATCTGGATCCTATTTATATGAATGAGCTACTTCATTCCCTGAGCTACTGAATGAAAGACTCCTTCTCATCTGGATCCTATTTATTCAGGAACAGTAAACTCATTCTCCTTCTTTCACTCATTCGACAGATTTCACTCTTTAACTCGGTAAAGCAGTTGGTTGGCTGGATGAGAAAGTGTTTCAAGACTCCTTATTCATTCTCCTTCCTCTAAACCAGATTGAACTGTAAAGTTGCTTCGCTCCTTGTTCTGTTATGGTTCGTTATTCTAAGGAAGTGATTGTGAACAAAGACTCAACTCAAGACTCAACTCAACAAGATTCATTCTCCTTTACTCTGTTTTCTTTCAGAATCAAATGAAATATTGATTTCTCCTATAAACACTCTTTATTCGACAAATTGAACTTTTGTAAAGACCATGAATTAGAAAATCCTATCCTCTCCCTATTTTTAGGGATGTTTTCCCTGATTTCACTCTTTGACTCTCCCTGAACGGTAAACAGAGACGAAACGAAAGAGTTTACGAACTGAACTCCTGAACAGTCAGTCAAGACTCAACTCAAGATGAAACCGAAAACCTTTTCCTGAACCGGAACCTTCTTGCTTAAACTCATGAACCTGATTGATTTCACTCTTAAAGACCATAAATAAAAAAAAGCTATCCTTCCCTGATTTTTTTTGGCTAAAATCGATGCTTTACCCTATTTTGAGGGCTATAGGTAATTCAGTATTAAGTCAAGATGAAAGCAAGATTCATTCATTCATTCTTTCTCTTCTCCGTAACCTGATTGAACTTCTCTTTCTCCTGAACTAGTATTACCATCAGTTAATGTGTGTGAGTTATTCTTTAACTAATCTTGATCCTGAACCTTTGACGATATTCCCTATTTTTTAGGCCATTTCACTCTTTCACCGTAACCGAGGGATGGAGGATGATTCTTTCACTCTTTGACTCGGAGGTAAAGCAGCTAATCTAATTCATTTCCTCTCCCTGAGTAGTAAAAGAAGAAGAAAGATTAATGATACTCAACCGACCCCCTCCCCTTTTCCTGATTGAACTCAGCTCGGTAAGCTTAGCTTCTCTCCTTCTCTTCTTCTTTGACTCCTCTCCCTATGTTTTAGGCCATTTCAGTCGGTAAAGCATATAAAATGAATTTACTCGGCTGTAAACAAAGACTCCTTATTAATTATTCTTCACCTTTAATGAGACTGAACAGGAAGGAAAGAGGTAAACTCCTGCCCCTATGGATTCTTTCTCCTTATTTCTCCTATTTATTCTTTCAAAAGGTAAAGCATATTCAGTAGCTCTTTTCTTTTACTGGGTAAAGCAGCTTCTCTCCTTCTGGAACTATAACCTCCTCTCCTTTTCTTTTCCTATTTATTCTTTGCCTGGGTAAATGAGTGAATTCAGTACAGTAGCTCTTTTCTTTCACTCGGTAAATAGGCTGAGATTACCTTCCTTATTTTATGGGTCTCACAAGCACTAAGTTTAAGTCAGTTCTTTGCCTTAACCTCTCCTTCCCTTCTTGAACCTATTGACTCTTGAACAATAAACTCATTAACCTCTCCCTATTTTTGAGGTCATTTTAACTCAAAGACAAGGTAAAAGAAAGTGTTTCAAGGAAAGAAGAAAGATGAATGATCCTGAACCTATTTCTTCTTTCACAGTAAACTAAGACTCACCTCAAGATTAATTATCAATCACTACTGAACCTATTGATTCTTTATTCCCTGAGCTACTGAACCTGAACCTGATTTCACTCTGTCTTTCACAAGATAAATGAGGATTGAATTGACTCTCTTGTAAACTCATTCACCTTCTTTCACTCGGTCTCACAAGCACTAAGTTTAAGTCAGTTTTTTCACTCGGACACCTTTCATAAACACTTTGACTTTCCTTGCTTGCCTGGTTAATCTTTCATAAACAAGCACCTGGTGCTCCCTGAGCCCGAAGCTCCGCACTTCTGACTACTCTCGTTTATCATTATCTAGCTTCTCGATCCAAGGTTTCTCTACTCCCACCTATTGGTTCACTAGGGGTTTACAAGGACATGGGATTTTAGCGTCCCAATCCTACCGCTCCGAAGAAAGCAGGGATAGGTGCAGTCGCATTCGATCGAGAGTCTGATACACTTTTTCAAATAAGAAGGTATATGGGGGAAAGACGGAGTGCCTAGAGTAGACTGAGCTAGACAAGAGCCTGATGCTTTGAGCTTTCGGGCAGACCTGCCTTGGTCCAATCCCCAGCAATTCACTGACCTATCACTGTCAGTCAGGGAATTTGAGACCTTGTGACCTCTATGGCATTCCTGACACATTTTCTCGTATTCATCTGATAATCGAAGAAAGCTCCAAGACCTTCGGGTCAAAGCTCCAACCTCTATGCACCTGTGGCATGAAGGAATAGAAGGAAGGCTCTTTGCGAGAGAGTAGTTCATCCCGGGTCACAGAAAAGTAGCTTCTTAGAAAGTGAGGGAGTTATAATCAAATAAGATCAAGGGAAATCCCTCCTACGATTACGATGACTGGTAACGGAGTCTCAAAAGAAAAGGAAAAGAAAGATAGAGAACCTCTTTTTTTTCTTTACAGGATAGGAGGAATTGTAATTGATTGAACCATAAAACAATGGTTCTAGACCCGTAACTGAGTTAGAGAGCTGCGAATCAGGCTTTTGGAGTGGTGGCCCTTACGAAAAGTACAAAAGGAGAGTGGAATTACCGAACAGAAGATCAAACTCACAAGCCATCTGGTAATCGCAAATCTTTTATCTTCTATGAATGATTAATGCAAACTGGTTATGTTGGTTGCCCTCCCCAAGGAATTGTATGAGCCTTTCCTGGTAGGCCTGTCTGACAGCGAGGCTTCTTGGATTGATTATCTTCTTTGTATTGTACAGAAAATAACTGAACTTCCATATATTCATATATCTCAGGGCGAAGTTGATGTATGCCAAAGGGGATTGCTCTAAAATGTCGTTCAATCTCTCTGGCTAACAAAGAAAAAAGAATTTCAATTATATCCCCCCACCCCAGTTCGAAGGTTTCTCTTGAAAGAATGTTCTGGTATTCAATTATGGAAGAGGCATTTCTCAGAAAGAAATTTACTAGGCTTTCATATTCTCTATCGTTTAGTTGGAAAGGCAGTCCATATACCATTTTCCTTTTTAGTGCTCAAATTTAGCTTAGCCGATCATACCTATCTCTTTGAGAATAGGCTTACATTTCCCGAAATGGATGAGAATCTAATCTATATTACTTTTTTGTGTGAAAGATCAAACTTTGTCTACCGAATGGTTCGCTTAGGGAGAGGGACCCCCAAGCTACACCAAAACGGGTAGCTAAATGAACCGCAATCTTAGTAATTTGATCTGAGGGTCTCGTATATAAGATCACTGCTGTGCTGCATTTAGGGGCCTGATTCTTATATAATACGTATACAACTATAAGACGTATACAACGGGTTCACATTGAAGGTTTGAAAGAATCTGACTTGGGCACCAGACCTGTACTTGTCTGATCTTGCGAAGAATGCTTTTTCTGATTCTCAGTGCTTGTAAGCCTGAACATCTAACTGTAAGGATCTAATAAGTGCACCACTACTCTGAAGCCGAAAGGAGTGGGAGGTGTGGTGGCGACAACCTCTATCGTCGAGCTATCTTCTCGATCTTGCCAAACTAAGGCATCCGATTGATGGATAGCCTCAAATTACAGGCAAAGGTAGTCTTTCAATGCCCTCCTTTGTTGTTGCAGAACGAGGTAACAGCCAAGTCAAAGGTTAAGGGATATCAGCATCTGAAAAAGGGGTGTTAATCCTTGTTGAAAGCTTTGCCAGTAGACTCCTTGATGTTAAGTGCACACTTTTAGGGGATTGAGTAGACATGGTGGATCCTAATAGTCCGACACTTTGTGGAGTTGGTACCTGAGAATGAAGATGGACATCAGCTTTAGTTTAGTTAAACCTTGTTAGCTTGAAAACAAATAAATGGGTAGAGAAGCTCACCTCAGGAAGAGTCCTATGTTCGGTAGGTACCACTGGGAGAGGCGGTGGAATCTTTACAGTCTCAGGCAAGGACAGACGAAGGAGAGCCACTTGAACTCCCTCTCCAGCCCGGGCCTACAGCTCACTTGTTGAAGTGGTCTCAGTGATAATTGTAGGTCTAGCTTATTCTCCATTCTTGTTTGGTTCCTTTTCCTTGGGTGTCTTTCTCCCTTGCCTAGGGCTGTTGTGGTTGTAGCTCAATCAGTTAATCTTTCAGTTCCTCAAAACAATAAAACAAGAAAGAGGCGTCTTTTCGAAGACTATTTGTTTATACACAGGCTGATTCAAATACGCCACTGATATCAGACTCAGCAAAGACAGAGGATGGGATTCTCTTAGACGAAAGTGGCCAAGAATCATCGCCCAAAACCAAGAAAGACAAACAAAAGGAAAGAAAGGGGAGAACTAGTAAGGGATAGACCACTAACTAGATGTACAAGAGAATGATGGGAAGGAGGAATAAATCATCTAATTAGTTAGTTAGAAAAAGGTTGAGTCGAAGAAGAGGTGAAATCCAAGGAATCACCCCTTCCCAAGGTACTGGAATTGGGGAAACTCGACCGTGGATGATATGAACCAAGAGACATCAATCATACAATATGCTTCAATGAAGATGTGAAGAAAATATTGTTGAAATTATCAAAAGATATTTCAATTCATGCCACATTGAAAAGGAATGAAGTTTCATGTTTTGAATTTTGGGTAAATTACAATTTAGAGTTATTGTATTTCATTAATATATTTTAAGAGTTTTTATTTACTTTAGGTTACAATTACATAATGGTTAATTATGGTCATTAAGTATGAATGTAACAACTTTTAGAATGCCTTAGTAGTTTACCCAAAATACAATAACTCTAAATTGTAATTTACCCAAAATTCAAAACATGAAACTTCATTCCTCTTCAATGTAGCATGAATTGAAATTTCTTTTGATAATTTCAACAATATTTTCTTCACATCTTCATTGAAGCATATTGTATAATTGGTCTTTTTTTTCTTTTTTTCTTTCTTTTACCTTTCTTTTGTAGCATGGAAAATTCAAACAACAATACTTACATTACTGATGCACGATTGAGAGAAGCCCAACAACGAACCATGGAAAGACTAATTTGAGGAATATAAGAGTTGACTGATCGAATAGGTAGATTGGAGATTCAAAATCAAGCTCGACAGAGGATTCCACTACCTATGCCCTCAACCGATACATATGAGGGCGAAAATTCTGATCACCACGAGGATAATCCACATGCAGTTGGTCATGGCTTGATGGGAGGGAGAGACCATGGAAGAAGGGATCATAATTTACAACAACGAGTTCCTTATGATGATAGAATTGATCGTAACGTGGGGAGCATCAAATTAAAACTTCCCAAGTTTTATGGCAAAACCGATCCAGAGGAGTACCTTCAATGGGAGAAAACGATGGAGTCAGTGTTCAATTGTCATAATTTTAGTGATGAAAAGAAGGTACTGTTATGCATTGCTCAATTCAAACAATATGCTCAAATTTGGTGGGATAAATTGATGTCAAGTAGGAGAAGAAATCTTGAAGCACCAATTGATTCATGGGTCGAGTTCAAAGAGTCCATGAGGAAGCGTTTTGTTCCACAATATTTTCACCGGGACATGGCGCAAAAGCTTCAAGCATAGAAACAAGGACGCAAATCTGTGGAGGATTATTACAAGGAGATGGATACATTGATGGATCGACTTGAACTCGATGAGGACATGGAGGCTCTCATGGCGCGGTTTCTTAATGGGTTAAACACAGAGATTGCGGACAAGACTGATTTACAGCCTTATTCTAATATTGAGGAGTTGTTGCACATTGCAATTAAGATCGAGAGGCAAATCCAACGAAGGTCTCAACGGTATTCTTCTAAAACTTTTCCCAATTCTACTTCTACATGGAAAAGGGATAGTAAGAACATTGATTATAAGCATAGAAATCAAGAGATTAATGAGAAGCCTCAAGCTAAATTTGAGAAAGGGGAGAGTTCTAGAACAGGGAAAGAAAAAGTAGAAAAGTCTAATATTCGAAATAGAGATTTAAAGTGTTGGAGATGTCAAGGGGTAGGACACTATAGTAGAGATTGCCCAAATGCAAGAATTATGACCATCAAGGAGGGAGAAATTGTTACGGATGACGAGGCACATGACGACATAAATGAGATAACTGATGAGATTGAGGAGTTTAGTGAAGAGGACCCTACACATATATCTTTGGTTACTCGACGAGCTCTAAACACCCACATTATGGAGGACGACCTAGACCAAATGGAGAACTTGTTTCAAACTCGGTGTCTTGTTCAATTTGTAACTTGTAGTGTTGTAATTGATAGCGGTAGTTGCACCAATGTTGTGAGTTCCATTCTGGTCAAAAGACTTAATTTAAAGACACAACCACATCCAAGACCCTACAAGCTTCAATGGTTGAATGATTGGGAAGTACGGGTAACTCAAAAAACTTTTGTTTCTTTTACTATTGGAAAATATGTTGATGATGCTTTATGTGATGTTGTATCCATGCATGTTGGAGATTTACTACTGGGGAGGCCTTGACAATTTGATCGTCGGGTAATGTATGATGGGTATGCAAATCGATACTCTTTTACTCACAACGGTAGAAAAACTACTCTTATTCCATTGTCTTCAAAAGATGTATTTATTGATCATTGCAAACTTGAAAAGAAAAGGCAAGAGGCTGATGCAAAAGCAGAGATTGAAAAAGAATCAAGTGAAAAAAAGAGCTTGAGGGAAAAGCAAGAGAGTAACACTCAGCCTAAAGAAAAAAAAGAGAGAAAAGCCAAATCAGTAGGCTTGTATGTTAGATAAAGTGAGGCTAGGAATGTTTTGCTCTCTAACTAGACTATTCTTATACTTATGTGCAAGGGATCTTGTTACTTTACTAACATGCATAACCCTTCTTTGCCTAGTGATTTTGTTGTGCTTTTGCAAGAGTTTGAAGATTTATTTTCCGAGGAGAAGCCTAGTAGTTTGCCACCACTTAGAGGGAATGAACACAAGATTGACTTCATTCCTGGCGCACCCATTCAAAACCGACCAGCTTATAGGACTAATCCAAAGAAGGCTAAAGAGATACAAAGACAAGTAAGTGAACTCCTTGCTAAAGGGTATATACGTGAAAGTTTAAGTTCTTGTTCTATTCCAGTTATTCTTGTACCTAAGAAAGATGGTTCTTGGCGTATGTGTGTTGATTGTAGGGCTATAAACAAGATAACTATAAAGTATAGGCATCCAATTCCCAGATTAGATGATATGCTTGATGAATTGCATGGATGTAATCTTTTTACTAAGATTGATTTAAAATCGGGTTATCATCAAATTCGCATGCATATTAAGGATGAGTGGAAAACAGCTTTTAAAACCAAGTGTGGTCTTTATGAATGGTTGGTTATGCCTTTTGGATTAACTAATGCACCTAGTACATTCATGAGACTAATGAACCATGTCTTACGAGAATACTTAGGTAAGTTTGTGGTTGTTTATTTTGATGACATCCTTGTTTACTCTAAATCTTTAGATGATCATATTACCCATGTACGCAATGTTTTGACTACTTTAAGAAACGAATGTTTATACGTAAATTTAAAGAAATGTAGCTTTTGCATGGAAAAAGTTAACTTTCTTGGGTTTGTAGTTTCATCTAATGATGCTGAGGAGAAAGTGAAGGCTATAAAAGATTGGCCTGCACCTAAAAATGTAAGTGAGGTAAGAAGTTTTCATGGTCTTGCAAGTTTCTACCGTAGGTTCATTAAGAATTTTAGTACAATTGCTTCACCCTGAATGAACTTGTTAAGAAAAATGTATCCTTTCTATGGGAAAAAGATCAAGAACTTGCTTTTAATACTTTGAAAAAAAAATTAAGTTCTCCCTTGCTTGCATTACCTAATTTTGAGTCTACTTTTGAAATTGAATGTGATGCTAGTGGAGTAGGGATAGGTGCTGTATTAATGCAAAATCAAAGACCTTTAATGTTCTTTAGTGAGAAGTTGACTGGTGCATCTTTGAGGTATCCAACTTATGACAAAGAGCTTTATGCTTTGGTTCGTGCATTGCAAACCTGGCAACATTATCTTTGGCCTAAGGAGTTCATTATTCATACGGATCATGAAAGTTTAAAGCATTTGAGAGTACAAAATAAACTCAACACACGACATGCTAAGTGGTTAGAATTTATTGAAACATTCCCTTATGTCATAAAATATAAACAAGGTAAGGAGAACATTGTTTCAGATGCATTATCACGAAGGTATGTCCTCCTCAATACTTTGAATGCTAGGTTATTGGGTTTTGAACACATAAAGGATTTGTATCAACATGACATATTTTTTGCTCCTTTTGTTGAATCTTGTGAAAAAGGACTCATTGTGGATAATTACTTGTTGTTAGATGGATTTTTGTTCCGAAAAGGCAAACTTTGCATACCATCTTGTCCATCCGTGAGCTACTTGTGAGGGAAGCTCATGGAGGTGGTTTAATGGCACACCATGGAGTTTCTAAAACTTATGATATGCTCTTTGAACATTTTTTTGGCCTAAAATGAGACATGATGTTCATAAAGTTTGTGCTCGTTGCATAGCATGCAAACAAGCTAAGTCTAGGCTTAAACCACATGGTTTATACTCCCCATTACCGGTTCCTAATGGTCCTTGGATTGATATATCAATGGATTTGGTTTTAGGTTTACCTAGGACTAGGAAAGGTTATGATAGCATCTTTGTTGTGGTTGATCGATTTAGTAAAATGGCTCATTTTATTCCTTGTCACAAAACTGATGATGCAAAACATATTGCAGACCTGTTCTTTAGGGAAGTTGTACGATTGCATGGCATTCCTAAAAGCATCGTTAGTGATTGTGATGTAAAATTTTTAAGCCACTTTTGGCGTGTTTTATGGGGTAAGTTAGGAACTAAGCTAGTATATTCAACTACTTGTCATCCTCAAACGGATGGACAAACTGAAGTTGTTAACAGAACCATGACTGCTATGCTTAGGGCTATTATTGATAAAAATCTTAAGACTTGGGAGGATTGTTTGCCCTCTATAGAATTTGCATATAATAGGGTTGTTCATAGCACTACGAAATGCACACCTTTTGAAATTGTTTATGGCTTTAATCCTTTAACCCCCCTTGACTTGTTACCCATACCATCAAAAGAGTTTGTGAATTTTGATGCAAATGCCAAGGTTGAGTTTGTTCATAAACTGCACAAGCAAGTGAAAGAACAAATTGAGAAACAAAATTCCAAGGTTGCCACCCGAATTAATAAAGGACGTAAGTTTGTCATCTTCAAGCCAGGAGATTGGATTTGGGTGCATTTCTGAAAAGAAAGATTTCCTACTCAAAGAAAATCTAAGCTTTTACCACGAGGAGATGGACCTTTTCAAGTTCTTGAGCGTATCAATGACAATGCTTATAAAATTGATTTACCAGGTAAGTACGGTGTTAGTACAACTTTTAATGTTTTTGATTTGAGTCCTTTTGATGTAGGTGATGGCTTTGATTCAAGGACGAATCTTTTTCAAGAGGGGGAGAATGATATGAACCACGACCAAGAAATTTCCATACCTCAAGGTCCAATTACAAAGACGAGAGCTAAGAAGCTACAACAAACCTTATACAGTTATATTCAAGCTATGGTGAGCTCATCAAAAGAAATTCTAGAAGACGCTGGAGACCTCCCTTACATGTTGTGCAAAGTTGAGCTTCAAGAAAGAGATGAATTAAAGTGCATTTAATGAACTCCGCTGAATTTATGAAACTAGTCCAAGGATGAGTCAATAAGCACATTTTATTAATTGCATTATTTAATTATAGTTTAAATATTTGTTTGTCATATTTAAGCTAGTTTTAAATATAGGACTTAAGACTATATTGTAACCCACATAGGTTACTATATTTCACCATTAACTAGCCATTTTAATATGGAAGTTATGGGTATTTTTCATTTACTAGCCCATTTAATTTGGGAGTAATATATCATATAGGTTAAGATTGTAAGGGCTATATAAAGCCTTCTTTTCTTTGATTAGACATCAGATTTTGGAATTAAGAATAGAATTTCTATTTTATCTTTGTTGGGAGCTAAACTTTCTTTGCAAATTCTTGTGTTTAGAACTTGCATGTAGAGTCATTCAAGTGATATTGATCAAACCTCTTGTGGAGTGATTCGAATCACGAGTTTAGAAACGAGTTTTCTTTACTCTTGATCTTGATCATCAAGGTAATCCATTCCATACTTTCCCTTGGGTTGATTTTCCATATCATTTGGTATCAGAGCTTCAGGCTCAAGATCGGATATATGTTTCCTTTGCGTTTCTTCTCAATTTGATTTTTATTTATTTTTATCTTTTTAGTTTTTAATTGACCCAGAGTTCAAAATTCAATCTTTGCTCTATTTAAAATTTTGAGAGGTGAGAATGAGAGCTTCATTTGTGTAAATGAGTGAGAAAAGAGTGGTCTAAAATTCCTAGAGTATATACTCGTGAGAGAGTGTTGTGAGGTCCTTCGTATTTCCATAACTTATTTTTTGTAGCAAAGTTTCACAAATAGATTCGAGGACGAATCCTCTTGAAGAAGTGGAGAATGATATGAATCAAGAGACATCAATCATACAATATGTTTCAATGAAGATGTGAAGAAAATATTGTTGAAATTATCAAAAGATATTTCAATTCATGCCACATTGAAGAGGAATGAAGTTTCATGTTTTGAATTTTGGGTAAATTACAATTTAGAGTTATTGTATTTCATTAATATATTTTAAGAGTTTTTATTTACTTTAGGTTACAATTACATAATGGTTAATTATGGTCATTAAGTATGAATGTAACAACTTTTTGAATGCCTTAGTAGTTTCATTTTTGAGGCTATATATAGTCATGTATGTTGTATTTGTAATTAGACTTGAAAAATATAGTAAAAGAAACATTTGTGCTCTTCTTTAGCCAATGGCTAAGTTACTTTGCAATTCTATGTAGTTTAGGTTGCATGTAGAATCATTCAAGCTCGACATGATCAATCTTGCTTGTGGAGTGATTCGAATCTCAAGCAAGTGTTCTTGCCTTGAGATATTTGATCAACAAGAATCATTCAAGCTAGACATGATTGATCTTGCTTGTGGAGTGATTCGAATCTCAAACAATGTTCTTGCCTTGAGATATTCGATCAATAAGGTAATCCGAATCTTACTCCCCTTATAGTGGTTCCTTATCTTATCACTCGAGATAAGAAAACCTGTCCTTAACGGGATGGTAACCGAACCAAGAGCTAGTCCAGATTGCTTTGATAAAGATTGACGACCATTTCTGTGTACTTCAATCCCTCTCTCTATCGGATGAGAATCGCAAATGTTGGTTCTCATTGTGCCAGTACGCAAGAAGAACGGACAAGTACGAGTGGGTGTCGACTTCAGAGACCTAAATGCAGCCTTAAAGATGACTTCCCCTTACCGGAAACTCATAATTGACGGCAACAGTGGCTTTTTCAGCCATCTCATTCATGGACAGAAGTTATGGGTAAAATCAAATGCACCTGAACGACGAAGAGCTACAGCCAAAATCACTCAAAAAGGTGCGAAGGGGGATGCTCTAGGGGTGTGTTTGTGGAGGGCTGAGGAGGGAGGACCAGGAAGTTCTCGTATAAAGAGTAGTAGGTCTCCTGAGGAGAGTACTATGGTGGACTAGTGTGAGGAGTACTCATCTGAGGAAGAACTTGATTCCGACGAAGAGGAGGACTGCCCCACTATTAGAGTATCCGCGGAGGACAAGACAAAAGAAGGATGAGGCTGTCCTGGAGAGAGGCCTTCCGGTTCTTCATCAACTCCTTATCCAGTTCCACCTTTGACACAGACCTAAAGCATACCATATCGAAAATCAATCCTCAAAGGTGCGGAAAGGAAGAAGAGAAATGGATAGTGGGAGAATGCTGCTAAAGAACACATTACCGAGCTACTATATGTATATTTCCTGTTTTGTTTTGAAGATCCTCATTGCTGACCATGACCCAACCATTCATATCTCCCGTTTCTTGATCATCATCAATCGTGACAATAGATAGAGAGTCCTCGTATATTATCAACCAAGCCAGCATATAAAGTAGACCCATATTCTCCAGCAATCTTTCTTTCAGTTCCATTCCCACATCTAACCTTAATGGTTAAGGGATACTAGCAGGGAAGAGGAGGGCATTAAGTAATCGATATGAATCGCTTTACAAAGCTGCTCTTTCTTTCCCTAATTCGTGTGTCGCCGCTGAGATGGCAGTTGTTCGAAGACTTGCTGGTCTTAATAGGATGATGAAAACGAAGATGATTAGTGGCCGTAGTCTTACCAAGGAGTCTGCATAGCCATCTACTTGTATGCGAAGGCAGTTAAGCGGTTGTATATATAGGAAGGAAGGAGGACTGAAAGCAACCTATCCCACACAGCCTAGGGGCCTAGGAAACCCTATCCACCAAGAATCCAATGGTAGCCAGAAGTGACTCGAAAGGAGAAGGTATGATCCCCAGGTGAAAGAACTTTCTATACATATCTAACTGTATGGCTAGGAACGAAGGAAGGAGAAAAGAGTGGAGTAAGGGAAGCGAAAGACACTGTACCGACTGAAAGGTACATAGTTGCTTTACCGATAACGAGAGGATTGAGAAAAGCTACAGCGCAGGAAGAGCATAGGGAGAGGATGAAGGCATAGTTAGTGCTTGGTTGGGGAAAGGCGTACGATAGCGAGAGCAAGAAAACTCCTGTGCTTACGCTTGCTATTCAAAATTAGAATAGAGAATGACTTCGGGACAAAAGAAAAAGCCTGATCAATACCAATACCTAAAGCTCACTGAACTTGAGCTATCGTAATTCAGTTTTCACAATCTCTCTCCCCTTTCCCTATCCGTGGAGTCACTACGTACCTCTATAGAGCTTGATAATGCATTTTCTGGATAGAATATGATCATTCTTTCTTAAAGGTAGTTTTATCCGTAATAAGATGCCTATTCTCTTTAGAGATAGAAAACCAATGTAGCTTAGCCTGGCAAGATACTTTAGCCAAGGTATAGACCGGGAGGAGTACTTTCTCATAGGTTGCTTGACTTCGTGCCTATCACATCACAGCTTAAACCTTTAAAGGCTCAAGCCTGGGGCGAAAGCTCGGTCTTCCCCTCTAGCATCTGCTCTCTAGTTAAGTAAGGTGACGATTGAATTAGTAGAAAACAGCCTTAGTTAGAAGGTAAGATGATCCTAGAGGCAAAGCCTTGGATTCAATTCTCCCCTCTGTAACTGCAGCTTCAGCAATTTCCTTAGTCAGGCCATTGACCAGGGGATTAGGTAGTTACAAAAGAAAAGCCCTTCCTTATCAGTCTAAACCAAGGCATTCTATTTCTAATACTTAAATCGAAAGGTTTGAGAAAAGCCCTTCCTTATCAGTCTAAACCAAGGCATTCTATTTCTAATACTTAAATCGAAAGGTTTGATTTTCTACATTCTACAGGCCCCTTGGATTCTATTTTGATTCCTTACCACCGGGGATTCCCCTATCCTCACTGTAGGAACATACTGAGGCTAAAGTAGCAGCAGTCTTTGTCTTTGAGTAAGTTGCTATTGAGCTCAGCCCCTAGTAACATACTAAGGCTAAAGTAGCAGCAGTCTTTGTCTTTGAGTAAGTTGCTATTGAGCTCAGCCCCTAGTAACATACTAAAGAATCATAAGAATCATATCCTGAGGGCTAAAGAAAAGCTGCCTTGGAATCTCATCTGAAACTTTGAAATAAAGGCCTGTGAGAATTTCTTCTTTTAGAATAGAAGCTAGGAGATCTTTAGTGTATTCTCTACAAACCTCACCACTTCGTCAGCAGGTGATAACGGCCACCTTTTTAGCTTTTTAAACCATCAGGACAGAATGCTTTTAGCGGCAAATAGAACGAAGCGGACAATATAAAGCAATCTATCAATTGTTGAGCTAAAGAATGCTTTTAGCGGCAAATAGAACGAAGCGGACAATATAAAGCAATCTATCAATTGTTGAGCTAAACCAGCCTTTTACCCTAAAGAAGATTTCCAACTAACTGGATTGAGGGATTTCTTGCTTTCCTGGGCATATCTGCCCTGATCTTCCAGACTTCACTCCTATAGACTCATTGAGGGATTTCTTGCTTTCCTGGGCATATCTGCCCTGATCTTCCAGACTTCACTCCTATAGACTCAAGAGAGTAGGCCTTACTGAGCTAATTCAGTAAGCTATTCAAGCTCCTAGACCTTCGTCTGCCTAGTCCTGTCCTCAATAGATGACTTCCACTTTATCTCGGAGATTAATCGATGTATCTTAGTTACACCTAGTCCTGTCCTCAATAGATGACTTCCACTTTATCTCGGAGATTAATCGATGTATCTTAGTTACAACCGGAGATAGATCGGGACGAGCTGCATCCTATTAAGATTTATATGTCTTAGTTAGGGCGGAAAGCTACCTATCTTCTTCTGTCCTTATCTTCAATGCTAAATTCCTGAAGTGACTTTGAAACATCAACATCATCAAATACGGCTACTGAAACTGTTACTTCTGAATCCCTATGATGAACTGAAACTGAGTCTGATTCCACTTCTTTCCTTTCCTTTAGCAAGTAATTCATCTATCTATCTATTTGACTCTCTCAGTTGGTTAGCTAGTGTCATTGTTCTTCTGCTTCTTACGAATGACCTAGGCATGTCAATGAACGAAGAAGAGCGAAAAGAAAAGAGAAGACATAGGGAATAAATAGGGAAATGAGTGTAACAAATTAGGGAGTCATTGAACTCATTCAGATGAAACTGATCAAATAGAAGAAGAGAAGATTTACCCCTGAACGGAACGAAGTGATCAATCAAGAAGTTGCTCAACTGATGAAGGCCGAGAAGTCTACTACTCGGCGTGGCTCGCCAATCCCGTTCTGGTAAAGAAGGAGGAGGGTGGAGGATGTGTGTGGACTTCACCGAGCTTGCCCTAAATATTGTTATCCCTTATATCCCTTACAAAGGATAGATGAGCTCGTTGGTTCCACTATCGGATATTCAATCTTCTATATAAAGCTTCTCATCAAATAGCAATGGAAGAAGACGATTCTTTCATTACCGAAGTAGGAACTTTCTGTTATACCACCATGCCCTTAGGCCTCAAAAATGTCGGAGACACTTACCAGAGGCTAGTGAACAAGCTGCAGATCGGTAAAAACATGGAAGTGTATGTGGATGATATGTTAGTAAAAAGCCAAACTACCCAACAACTTGCTTTTGATCTTCGAGAGGTCTTAGAGATATTGAGTCGGATACGTATCTTAGTAAGTGAATGAGTGTTATCCAAGATAAACTTATAGGTAGGGGCTTACTGCCTTACGGATTACTTGCAGCCTTTTTCCCAATCCTTTCCCAGGGCTTGTTACTAAACAAAAATGACTTATAGCATAGCGCTTCTTATTCATCAGACAAGAGCAAACTTCCCGACTCCCGCTTCACTAATTGGAAGAAAAAGGACGATCCATTGTGGTTCCTTGGTGTGGAGAGATCTCTGCAATCAAGAGAGCTCGTAGGCCTTATTCTGCAGATCAAAGAGCGACGTAATTCCCCATTCATCCGAAGTAGTCTTTTAGTATAGAACAGAGGCATTCTGAGCCGACTACTATGACTACATGCGCATCTAGTGCAGTGGCTTGGAGATAGAGGTGGTTCAATCTAACCTTTGCATCGATGTTTGGCATGAGACTTTTTTCAGGCCGAATCTTGTCTATTCCGAATCAAGTATAAGTTCAATAGTTTCCTCCCGTATGAGAGTAACCAAAAGAGAAGATCTAAGAGAACTTGTCTAGCTTGACTTGAATTGCTCCCATCCAATCCTTCTACTTACTGAGGAGTTTTGTTCTGTTCGCCAGTAATTCTTTTTGAGAGGATTTATATCAGAATTTCCCTAGCTTAGTTCCTTCCCGCTTATATCTTCTATTATCCTCGATTTGGCTTCAAGCGCTTACTCTTCTGCGCATGGCATCTCTGACCCAAGATTCTATGCATCTGAACTCACTGAAAGCAAAAGGGGAGAGTCGACAAGAGTGCTGCTTCTCCCCCGGAGGGAACACGTGTAACAGCCCCGCAGGGAACTTTCTTTAAAGCTAAAGCTAAGGAAGTCTTGTATGATTGACTCCTTTCTTGGACACGAAGGGTATAAGAAGAAGTGAGGGAGAAGCTCGTAGCTCAGTACTGCTTTACTCAAGCTTTTTTCCCTTGGATACATTGTTTTACAGGGAAAGAGGCTTTTGCCCAGGAGTTACTGCACAGATAGGTGGTAGAGGCAGAAAAGTGTCCGCTTGAGAATAATCAATCATCCGCAATCGGTAAAGAGAAAGAGGTTTGATTCAACCTAAATTCCTTTAGAGCCCACGAAAGATGAGCTAGGAGTAGGGGGGCTCCAGCCTTTCCGTCACAAGAGATCGCTCTTCGAGGTATAGCTCAGGAGGGCTCCAGCCTTTATTAAATNGCAGTTACTGCACAGATAGGTGGTAGAGGTAGAAAAGTGTCCGCTTGAAAATAATCAATCATCCGCAATTGGTAAAGAGAATGAGGTTTGATTCAACCTAAATTCCTTTAGAGCCCACAAAAGATGAGCTAGGAGTAGGGGGGCTCCAGCCTTTCCGTCACAAGAGATCGCTCTTTGAGGTATAGCTCAGGAGGGCTCCAACCTTTATTAAATTAAGAAATGTTATTTGCTGGTTAGAGGGAAAAAGTACAGAATTCTTTGATACAGGGGGAGCAAGTCTGTTGTGCGTGGCTCTTTCACAGAAGAAAAGATGTTTGATTCTTAGAACAAAGATATAGAAAGAAAGTGTGCAGTGATACATTACCTTCCTATAGAGTCTGATTTTATGCTCTTTGGTTGGAGGTTATGTAATACACTTGAAGAAGAAGAAACTGGACTCAAACTTCCAAGATAACCCCCCAATCGACACAGTACCGAGCCAGAGCGATCTAACAAGGGAGAATCTTTGTTTACACACATCCTAGTGCCCAGCCGAATGATGAAGATATGCCGACATTTGCTCTTTGGTAGCCCATTTCGAGTCGGTGATTGTAAGATCAAGCACAGATCAAAAAGCCTCGATTGAAGTTCTATGAGATCAGACAGAAGTTAATAAGACAGAGCAGAAGTGAAAGATGAAAGCACTATACCGGGAAACCAAACCTTTGATAGTTCAGTCTTCCTATTAGGGGCTATGTAAGAGCTCTATGCCATCTATGGAATAGCGGCCAGTGCTGCTTGATTGACTGGTTGGAAGGCAGGATATTGGGATCAGACTGATCATCATTAGATAAGAACTCAAAGGAACTAGTGGAAGTACTGTTCCCTGCAGTCCCAAAAAGAGTGTGAATCATACGACGGATGTAATTAGAGAGATATCATCAAGATTCTATAGTCTAGTGGAGAAGCCTCTCTGCCACATATACTGTTCGATTGAGTTCGTTCGGGACACGTGGGCCAAGAAGCTCTAGGCAATTCTCACAATCACGGTCGATCATGGTTCAACTCCATGTCGTGAAAGTGAAACCAAGAATTTCTTTCATTAACATCAACGAATCACTATCTTTCTTTCATCGGTAGGGCGACCAGTCTTTTCTTTCTGTGTGTAATCGGAGTGTAGCACCTCTCTTTATAGGCCTCCACAGATGTAACAAAAAGTCGAATTTTGTCTATCCATAAGCTTGTGACTTGATCCGCTAGCGCCGGTTCGATTCCTGTCGAAAATGAAACGATAGGGATTTTATGCTTCTCATACATTCTTTGAGTGAGTCGGGTCATCGGTTGGCTTGCTTCACCGGTCTGGCTCATCGACTGATTAATGACTAAAGTGGAGTCGGAGAGGTTTTGACTTTTCAGTGGAAGCTGAGCTCGTCGTGCTGCCTGTGACGTGAGTGATCGTTGACCCTGCACCTGATTTTCTTATTTCTATTTGTGACGTCGAGTGCTTAAGTGAGAAAAGCGGTCTGGCAGATCCTGGTAATGATTTTCTAACTGGGACATCCATCCTTTTCACCTCTCTATATGTATGTGCTCCTTATCCTTATACGTTACGTCATTTTTTATAGAAAGAGAGAGATGATCAAGTCAAGGATGTCATAGATTAACCAAAGAAGAAGTTGTAAAAAAAACCTACTTATTTAGTAATTTGAGCAGCATATGTCCCACCACTAGTCACTCTATTGGTTAGTTGAGAATGAATGTGAACCTATTCTCCCTACCTGCGAGCGAGTTCTACTTCTAGGAGTTAGAGTCCCTAAGTAGCAAGAACAAGGTTTAGATGTAGGATTTTGATTGCAAGGAATGAACGCTCCAAGAGAGCCGGGGGAAGGAACAAAAAAAATAAGAGTGGTTTTTCCGAACGTCAGTGGGGAAGGACGTCACATGTGCTGTGACGGATAAGCTTTATTAACTTTCCCTTATCGCGGATGACCGGCCAGCTGATCTTAGCAAATCAAAACAGCTCCTGAACCTATCGGTCTCACAATTCCATTGCCTACCCCTCTATTCCCTGAGCTACTTCATAGGCTTTCGGATCTTACCTCCTTCACCTTTTCTTGATTGAACTTGGTAAAGCAGCTAATGAACCTTTAAACACTCTAGTACTCTCCCTTCACTGTCAAAGATCAATACTCAAGATGTATTCTCTGATTTCTTCTTTCTTTCACCTATTTCTTCTTTCACTGTAAACTAAGACTTCTTATGAATGAGACAGATTTGACTCTTTCACATAGGCTGGATGAGAAGAAGATGAGAGTCAGTCAGAATGTATTTGTCTCGAGCTTCAAAGACTCGGTAAATAGGTATTTTTTTTTATTCTTTTTCTTTCTCTTCTCTTTCTTCTTAATTCTTGTTATTGCTACAATCATGCTGACCGATATGCAACTGACTTCACAGAACATATGGCCGGACAGGATGGCTTTTCTTAAGACCAGAATGCTACCCCCGCTCGAACTCAAGAACGAAACTCAAGTCATTGCACCGCTCATGCTTGCTATAACAATTCCTTACTCAAGGCTACTCGACTTGTCTGTCTAAAAGAAGAAAAGATGCACGAGCCACTCTTTCTTTCCTCATACGCTATTAAAATCTCGTGATTTGAATTTCAAGCCTATCCCCTGCCTCTACGCTTGCCTTTACTACCTGCCCTTACCTGCCTGCCTTGAACTACTGCACTTGCGCATACCTTTTCTTGCTCGAGACAGAAGATAGCTTTTTTCTGGCATTGTAAAGATATATAGCCAATAAAAAGAAGTATTCCCAGGAGAGGAGAGAAATGGAATTGAAAGGCTTTCTACTAATGACTGGAGACCAGAAAGGGGAATCGAGAGATAAGCCTTGAGCAGTCAGACCAATTAGGATCGATTCGCTAAACATTCGACGATTCGAGATGAGCTGCTAAAAAAAAGAAGGGCGATAGAGAGAGGTGGGTGGAAGGAAGACAACCTCTCATGCATTACCAAAAGGAGCCAGCGCAGAGAGCGTTAAGACCTAGAACTGAAGCACGTCAGTCAGTGATTGCGCCATAACAGAGTGCATTAGGGCGGGAGAGAGATTAATTAATGAAATTCATAAGGATTGCGATTACACTGACGCTTGCTGCCAGCCTTGAACAAGTGGATCTCCTATCTATATTCGACAGCTTGAAGAGGGCTGATGGCTGATAGCTAAAGAGCAATTATCATTGAAAGCGATTCCTTCGCTCAAGAACTAGACTCAAGCAATTGTGCCTACCAGTCAAGACAGGAAGGTGGGACGCTATCCCGCCTCTTGACCGAAGGGCCAACCCACCTCACACTCCCCCCTTCTCTAATGCGCATATTGAGACTGAGCTTTCTTGCATCTGATCTAAGTCTATCGCCCGCCTGCCTCCAACTTTCTATTGCACCTGTCGTTAACTCCTATTTACCTTCCTTTCGTCTTGTGCCTGACTCTGAAGTAATATTCGATTCAAAAAGTACGATTAAATGGAGGAGATATCTTGAATCAAAGTCAATCACTATTTTTTATTCAATGAAAAGAAGATTACGCCAATGAAAGATCTCGAAGAGCGGGATGACAGAGATCAACAAAGGAAGGAGCTTGCAAAACGTTGCAAGGGATGCCATGTTGCAAGAAAGAAAAGGGCTGGTCCAGCAAGAATCCTACCAAGACCTTCGAGATTCAGAGCGCCAAAGCGTTAAGCGGCAGCCATTAAGTGGAGAATTTCCATCCATTTGCTGTCTCGTTCGCTACCTCAGGTCATAATTATGCAATTGGCCTAGTTTGAGTTCTGTTCGGACTATAGCCAACTTCTCTCATATTGGGGAGAAGCACCCTTGA